AGCTTTCTCTTCACTTAGCTGAATGCTCTGGGACCATCTGCGTCGGCAAGCATAAAAGGCCAGCCTGCCTGTGGGCCCGTCACTCTGAACACCACCTCTCTGACCCTGATTAAATACAACTTTCAATCCTTTTTGTCCTCCCTGTTGACTTCTCCTATTAAGGGAGCCCTCTGACAAAGAAAGCGGAAGAGTGGACTAACTGCCCCCAAGAAAGGTGATGTCTGATACTGCTCAACACAAGGATTAGCAAGCCAATACATAACAAAAGCAAGTTTTGGGGGAGGGGAGAGGTAAAGAAAAAAATGGTTTTAGCTGGAGCTTTGACTAATTCAGTAGGTACACAATTCAACAAATAGCTATACAAGAGGACTTCTTTGATAGAAATAACTATAGCAGAACAATAATTTGGAGAGATACCTTTCAAGATCTTGACATAAGACCATGACATTGACAAAAAAACCAGATATTTGTTTTCTACTTGATGTTTTTTAATTAAAAAGGAAACATAGTTGAGGACAGGAAAGATTGCTGAAAAAAATGAGAAATGAAATAAAATATAAATAAATCATAATTATACTTGTTTCGTGAGAAAGTTTGCTTGGCTTACTGAACACATTGACATCTGAGTTTATATAAAGGTGGAAAACAATTCCAAAATACTGCAATCATTTTTGTAACTCATTATGCCTATACTGAGAGAACTTCAATTTGAAAAAACTGGTTTCACAGGATGAAGCCCTTTTAATCAAAAGAACACATTTTAAAACTTCCAAGTAGATGGAGGCTTGTCAATACCATCCACTTTTGTAAAGTAATCAGAACCCACCGATAGGTCAGCTGATCGAAATTACCACCTTTGATAAAACCACCACTTTAGAAAGTAACTCATAAGCTTTCCTGCCCCGATATCAGGCCAGCTAATAAATGAAAGATCTGCCTGGCTCAATCGACAAAGCAATTAAATAATGCAACCTCATAATATACCTTGAAACATTAATGAAAAAAATAAGTAAAAACCAACAAACTAAGGAACTCTTTTCAGAGCTACTTAAAAGTCTAAACTCTAAAGTAAAACTTGACTGTACCTTATTCAAGGAATGGTCAATAAGCCAAGAAAAGTCAAGTAACAGAGAGAAGAGAGGCCAGGCATGGTGGCTCACGCCTGTAATCCTAGCACTTCGGGAGGTAGAGGCAGATGGATCACCTGAGGTCAAGAGTTTGAGATCAGCCTGGCCAACATGGTGAAACTCTCTACTAGAAATACAAAAATCAGCTGGGTGTGGTGGCGGGCATCTGTAATCCCAGCTACTCGGGAGGCTGAGGCAGGAGAATTGCTTGAACCCAGGAGGCAGAGGTTGCAGTGCGCCGAGAATGCACCACTGCACTCCAACCTGGGCAACAGAGCAAAAACTCCGTCTCATACAAACAAACACACAAACAAAGAGACATTGATTGATTCCTAGTATACATGAGACTTTCTGTGATAAAACTAGGAAAACTCTGGACAAACTGAGACAAGGTGATCATCCCAGGAGAGAAGCCACATATATAGAGAAACTATTCATGTGCTAAATACTGTGTTAGATTCTTTCACGGAACAATTCACTTACTCTTCACAACAACCCTATGAGGAAATAATTTTTTAAATGAGGAAGTCTTGCTAACTATGAGGATAAGTGATCTCTACAAGGCTGGACTATTTGAAGAATAGGAATCAGAATCTGACTGCTTATCTTCAAAGCCCATGTTTCTATCACAATACCATGTTGCCCTTCTAGGAGTTAGGTAGGAAGAGTGATGGAGCCATCATTTTCCTTCAGCACAAAATTTGGCAAACCTAGAAGGCCCATACTCTACACATCTCTGACTATGTTGTATTCCAAGAGAGCTACAGATAAACAAAGCAGTGCTTGATTGATCAAATAAATTATGGTGGAATCTGAACTGATAGAGTGTTGAACACTTTAGAAAATCTATGTACTGGCTGGGCGTGGTGGCTCACGCCTGCAATCCCAACACTTTGGGAGGCTGAGGCGGGCAGATCAAGAGGTAAAGAGACTGAGACTACCCTGGCCAACATGGTGAACCCCATCTCTACTAAAAATACAAAAATTAGCTGGGCATGGTGGCGTGCACATGTAGTCCCAGCTACTCGGGAGGCTGAGGCAGAAGAATTACTTGAACCCAAGATGTGGAAGTTGCAGTGGGCCGAGACAGTGCCACTGCACTCCAGCCTGGTGACAGAGTGAGACTCCGTCAAAACGACAACAACAACAACAACAACAAAAAAAAAAAGAAGAAGAAGAAGAAGAAAATCTAAGTATAAAACATGCTGCTGGGAACAATTCTTTATTGCTGGATTTCCTGGCTTAATGGGGCTGGAATTGGCTCTTACAGAGAACGAGGTAAACCTGTTTGATACAGAGAATGGGATCAAGCGTAGAGAATAAGAACTGTATTCCAGAGCAGGATTCAGATATTCAGATACGGTACTGGAGAACATGACCATTCTCCCTTCTGAGGTTCTCCAATGTACCCAGTAATTCCTACTACCAAGATACTGCCACAACAGTAAATGGGATCATAGACTCACATCAACAAAAGCCCATTTTAACAAGCAAAAATTTGGTTGATGTAACCATCTCCTCACCTCTCCCACATTTCCCTTTTCTAAGGGAAAGGGATAATATTCAAGTTTATGGGAAGACAACGTTCTATAACAAAGAAACCAAAGAAGATACGAGATATACACAAGTAACTAAAACACTAATAACAAAGTTACACGTGACATCTGCATTGGGAATATGACAGACTGTTCTAAGAATTTTACATCATTACGTGTTAGAGTAAGTAGGAAAAGCTTTACAAAAAAAGTTATCAGTTGGGCTGGCTTTGAAGGCTGGTTGAATTTAGTTCTGGCAGACTGACATGAGACAAAGCATTCCAGCTAGAGGTATATGAGCAATGGCCAAAGTAGTAAAATCAGAAAAGTATTCAGTATATTGCTATAATCTAGCACTCATAATAAGCTTTTACTTGAATTATGACATGTTTATCAGTTTCATCATGGTGTCTTCAGGGATTCACATGAAGGCACCTAACAGGTTTTAGCTGTATGCAGCAGGTATCCACAACAGGCCTTTTCGCTGCCTTTCACTGAACATTCTAAGAGCTTCTAAGCACTTAGAAGGGTTGGGCACCCAGAGATCCCTGGCTCCCAAACATGTTATTGGGTAGAAAATCTGGATTAACTGAAGTTGTAGAGTCTAAAAGAGTATAAAAGAACATTTGGTTTAACTTCCCCGATACTACAGGAACCACTACTGAAACACTCCAGGCAAGAAATTAAAATAACTGCAATAATGTTATTTTAATTTCCAATTTTAAATTATTTTAATGTTTAAATAGATTGCACATCTAGAAGCAGGGTGGTATAATAGGAAAAGTTCTAGCTCTGAAACAAGTTGACTTTACCTTCTGAACCTGTTTGTTCAAAAATAAAATTAGGTTAATACCTGTTCTGACTACCTCCTCTGAGAACTGTAAGGGTTGTTTGAGAAAATATGTCAAAGTATGTAAATATTAAAGCATTATACAAATATATTCTACTGTCATTTATGCTGGCTTATATATAACACTAAAATTAATTTTTTTTTTTTTTTTTTTTTGAGACTGAGTCTGGCTCTGTCGCCCAGGCTGGAGTGCGGTGGCCAGATCTCAGCTCACTGCAAGCTCCGCCTCCCGGGTTCACGCCATTCTCCTGCCTCAGCCTCCCGAGTAGCTGGGACCACAGGCGCCCGCCACTTCGCCCGGCTAGTTTTTTGTACTTTTTAGTAGAGACGGAGTTTCACCGTGTTAGCCAGGATGGTCTCGATCTCCTGACCTCGTGATCCGCCCGTCTCGGCCTCCTTTTAACACATTCATACCTAGATAAAAGAGTTGAGAAACAACCGTATTTTGTTTTTTTTCCTAATAAATAGGAATAAATAGGCAATACTCCTCAGGTTTGTGACTTGTCTTAGTGTCAAGTGAAGAGATGAAGAATATATATCCTTGATTTCCAGCTTTATTATTATTATTATTATTATTTTAACTTTTACTTTTTTGAGACAAGGTCTCACTTTGTCTTCCAGGCTAGAATGCAGTGGTGAAATCATGGCTCACTGCAGCCTTGACTTCCCGGGCTTAGTAGAGAACTACTTAGTTGGGACTACAGGCACATGCCACCATGCCCAGCAAATTTTTTTATTAGTTATTTTTCTAGAGATGGGGTCTCCCTGGGTTGCCCGGGCTGGTTTCAAACTCCTGGGCTAATGCAATTCTCCTACCTTGACCCTTCCCAAAGTGCTGAAATTAAAGGTGTGAGCCACTGCACCCAGCTCCCAACTTCATTTCTTATCAAAACCGGGCCAATGACTTTGAAGCCTTAACGTCCCTAACTACTATACTGAAAATAATTTTCAGAAACAGTACAACATTCTGGTAACTGATACCATGGCACCTAGAACAGAGTAAGAGATGGGGTATTCAAGTTTTAAATAAACTGAATACATTTGAAAAATGGTGTAATTCCGATCTAAGTACACTTAAATGCAGTAAGGTTACTGCTCTCTCACTGAAATGGTTTTTTGCTCATTTCTCTCTCTACCCAAGTCCCTCTTCAAAGTTTTAATTTGTCACTCACTAGTGAGCAATGAGAGACTTTAGGAAAGTTACTTGATATCACTACATTTTTAAACCGGAAAACAGCAATAAAAATACCTACCTCTCCCTCACAAAGCTGTGAAGTGAGGTGTGAAAGGCTAAGTGAAAGAATATAAAAATCCACAAAGTACATTTACGTCCACTTATATATGTTATCTAAAAAATTTGAACTCACAGAAGTGGAGAGTAAAGTGGTGGTTACCAGGAGTTGTGTGGAGAGGGGGTTGGGGAGATGTCTGTCAAAGATAACAAAATTTCAGTTAGATAGGAAGAATAAATTAAAGATATCTGTTGTACAACATGGTGAGTACAATTAATAACAACAATATACTGTATTCTTAAAAACTGCTGAGAGGTTTTAAGTGTTCTCATCATAAAAAATAGGTATGTGAGCTAATACATATGGTAATCATCTCAATTTAGCCATTTCACAATATATACAGTCTTCCCACAGTATCCAGAGGTTCAAAGATACCTCAGCTACCAAAATCTATGGATGCTCCTGCAATCAGTCCTGTAGAGCCCATCAATACAAAGCTGACTTGCAAATACTATATTTTCCACCCATGGTTTGTTGAATCTGTAGATACTGAGAGCCAACTGCACATATTTCAAAACATCATGTTGTACATGTTAAATACATATAACTTTTAATATGTCAATTTAAAAAAGGGAAAAAAATACATGACTTTTTTTCCTGCCCCAAATGATGGTCCACACTGGCCCAGAGTTTACTACACCAGTTTTATAGCAATGTGTTCAGTAAATGCACTCTTCATTACAGTTAATACTATCCTATATTGGTATAGTACATTAAATATTTCACAATGCATTCACATCTGAAACATAATGAATTAGGTAACAAAATCATTATCATACGCTGATGCTAAAGATGGAGAGCCCTGAAGACACTTGTGGACTCGTGTCGGTTCAGTTAACATTCTCATGATGATTACCTTCCTAATCTATGTATCTAGCTTCATTCTCTCTTGAGCTTGGCTCTATATTAATATATTCAGCTCCTTTCTGGACACCTCAAATTAGATCGTCTACAGGCACTTCAAATCAAATGTTGAAAACAAACTAATATTCTTCCACTTTCAAACTTGATTCTCTTCCAGTATTCACTATCTAGAAGAATGGTACCATCACCTCTCATCTATTTTAGAAAGGAACCAGTCTCTTTAAGTTTGATCTTGCCATTATCTGCCCAACTGCTGCTAGTCACTCTTCTGCCAAACTGAATTGCAAATTTTAAAATGCTCCTGTCACTATCTTACTAAAAATCTCTTTGAGAAACTCTTTAATTTTCTGATCACTCTTATAAATCCCTTCATAATTCGGTCTCATTTTACCACTCCAGACTAATGTCTTGCTATTCTCCATTACCTTTAAACCCCATAGTCTAGCCATACCAAATTATACATAAATCTCTGAAGCAATAGCAATTGGGCTATATACCTGCTATTCTCTGAACCTGCAACACTCTCTCAATTCCAGGCCTTCCTCTGTTTAGCTTATTTTAATTTTAATTATTCTTCAGGTCCTAATTCAGTTTGCGGAAATCAGGTAAGACTTCTGGAGGAAAGAAGTCTTGGAGGAAAGAAGTCTTACCTGATTTCCCAAAAGTGAATTCAGAGTCCTAGATGTCCCCATGATGTTGTATATTTTCATCTATCAAGGCACTTACACTTTGTATTGTAAGTATCCATTTATATGTCTGACTCTCTCTTAGACTATGAGCTAGTTACTCTTAGGCAATACCACATTTCTACTGCTTAACATTGTCCACTGCACAGGTAGGTGCTCAACAATAGTTTGTTGGATTGAATTTAGCTTACTGTTACATGGCTTCTAAGAAATTATTTGCTTATCTAATAATTTGCTAGTATATTTTAAAATTACAATTTCAACTGTTTAAATGTAAATTCCTTTCTTTTATTTCAGTCTTTTAATTTTTAAAAATAGCTTCTTCTTTAAAGTATTAGAATATTGAACATTAAAGAAGAGTTACATATTCTTTATTTCAAAGAGAGGATGAAAATCTGAAACTACTGACTATAACTGTGTTCAAAAAATAAACATAAAAAATAAAGTTTATCTTTAAAGTTACTCAATTTTTAAAAATTAAGTTACTATGCCAAATATAAAATTTTATCTAAATCTATCTAAAATATTTATCTACTTTGCACTCAGAATCTGACATACATATTACTGTATTTGAAAATGAGTCTTTTCTCCTAAAAATTTGATTTTTTGTCTTAAAAACCAAGTCATTTTCTAGAAGAATAATTTCCACTTTGATCCCATGAAATCAGTGAGAAAAAAGGGTTTATGTACTCACATGATACATTAAAATAGGATTGATTCACCTTATAGACAACTTTTTTTCCAAGTGAGATATATCTATCATGTTTTGGTAGGCTTCTTACGGGGAAAGTAGCTATTATAAATTATTCAATGGAACAAATGCTTCCCACCATTCCTCACTACTGACTTAAAAAAAAAATCCAACACTGGATTCTATTCCACAGTGAATATATATGAAAAATACACAGTGGCCCTCACTGATCAATCATGGTAGAACCCTCATGACACAGCCATAGCCAACAAACAGTGCAAAACATTTACCATCTCTTTTTGGGACAAAAGGAAAAATGTGAAAATGGCAGGATTACTTGGGTTTTAAGAGGAAAAAACTGTCTTGGCAAAAATAATTCATTATCATTCACCCCCTCTTAATACATGAAGATTAAAGGCCTCCCTCACCTCCAGGAAGTTTATTATAAATCAAATCATATTTAAAAACATTAAGAGTTAGTTGCCTTTTAAATAACTCATATGAATAAGCTATTTTAAAATCAACTGTTTTATAAAATAAATTAACATTCATTTATGGAATTAATTGGGCTATTTTAAAAACCATTCTGCCTAAAACAAAATATAACCCTCACTATACTATGGTATATTCAGTAGAAAATCCAAGGTGCTCTAAAATAAAAACTGTTTCTATTTAAAAAACAAGGGCTGGGGCAGTCTTTTTTTGTTTGTTTGTTTGTATGTTTAAACGAAGACATTCCTGCACAATAAAAATTCACTTAACTTTACTCCATAAGTACTTGACCTGTACCACAAAGAAGCTCAGGCTTGCAAAATGGCTAGTATGAGAAGCAAAAAGAGTAAGTTTGTAAGTCGAGCTGGGCAGCAACCATATGGCATTACAAAGGACCACTAGGAGACAATAAACATACCAAAAAATGCTTAATTTAAGGTAAATCCTTATTGTTTAATGAAGTGAAAAATGAATAAAATTAGAGTCAAGATACATAGGATAGAAAATTTGGGGACACGGAAGACAAACTCCATGGTCATATCCTTGGACCATACAATTTTACAGCAAACTGTTACTACTAGGTAAAAATCCACTGTGCGATGCTCTTTGTGAATTAACCAATGAAAACACCAGAAGGCTAGCTAGACTAGTTAATGTTTCCACTTGAACTTTGATCAACATTTTCCTGATACAGTTGTATCTACAGATTGAAAAGTGTTTTCAAGGGTTTCAGTTGGCAGTTAGGACAATTTTTTGTTGTTGTATTCAAATCAACCATGTCTGCAAAGAAAGCATGCTAAGTGTTTAGTATGTGTGTATATAAACTCAGTTTTAAACCTGAATGCAAGGATCTTGAATACTGCACAGTGCTTTCTGTGGCACTTACAATTTACTAATAAATTACAAAATGGTACTTTGAAAAACCGAGAAAGCAATATTGATATCTCCCCTAAAATAAGCTCTTTTCAAAAAGAAAGATTTTGCCAAAAATGAACAGCTAGATTAAAGAGTTTCCAAAGCACTTGTAGCTGCAATACTCAATGCTGAAATAATTTCACAGTATTAGAGTGACCAGATATCTACAGATATAATTTTAAAACAAAGGTTTAGAATTTTCCAGAGAAGGCCTTCCTAAATATTTAAAATCTGTTTTCATGTTTAAATTTTACATGGTAGACCTATGACATCAACATAAAACAAATATATATAAATTTCAAATGGTTTATCCATCAATTCCTTTAAAAGCTGTATTATTTGGATGCCATAAACTTTGCTCAGAAATAATTCTGCATTTCCTGCCATAATTCTTAACTATGTTTTGGCCAAAAAACTTAAAGTTAATCATAATAATCTGGGCATTTTGGTTTTCTAAAATGAAAGAAATATGCTTAAAAAAAGAAGAAAAATAAATATGCTTCTTATGTCATAGATAAGTATACATACATGGCTTCCATGATTGCTTTTCTCTAATGGCAATTCCAGATGTGAGGGTCAAACTTGTCACTGAATCTGGCTTTCCTTAATACAAAACCATTCGGTGTGCTGATACAGTGAACTGCTTCCCAAAGTTCAAATATACTTTCATACTTTTGTTTAAGCTTATGTAAAGCTTTTAATTTAAAAGCAATTCTTAATAAATAAAACATGTAAATGTAAAATGTAAATATAAAATACACAATTTAAAATAACTTTAGGCAGCAAGCTCTAGATTTCCATTAGAATCTCAGCAACAATTAGAACACATTTTTAATAAGAGCTTCACTATGTCATCCTGTTAGCTTGGCTTTATTGTATTAATACAGGAATAAGTACTATCAGAAAGAAGTTCAAAAGCACTATCTACATAGAGTACAAATTTCTGATATAAGTACTTGGTATTACACAGCATTAACAGTTGAAATAGCAACAGAAATACATATTATGGACAAGATTGCATAAGCATACATTTGCTCCACTGACAGCACCATCCCAAGTATCATGGGAAGCAAGGAAGGGCCCTCATACATATAGCATAGAAATTATATAACCAAAACTCCATGGATCCATTTGTAACTCTCTAGTCAAAGCTAAACATCACATACATTTCCATTTACCTTAGATGCTAAAGAAAAACTCAATTTCCTTTGAACACCTTTTGGCAGAAAGTCAAACAATAAAGAATTTGACATTAGTTTTTGACGGATTGCATATAGATTACACCAAAACATTTAAAAATGTTAATCATTTTATTTAATACTAATTTAATACAAATAAGCAGTTATGATTTCCTTATTTGGCAGCCAAATATTTGGAATGCTATTGGATGTCCTATGCACCGACCCCTATAACAAAAGCCAGTTCATTATTTATTCAGATTATTACTCAGATGGGAGAAAAAATGCTAATGGAAAATCTGAGAAAATATCAGCATCACTAAGATAAACCAAAACCTATCTTAACAGAAAAAAAACAGTGCAATGTTTCAAGAAGAACTGGAATTATATATTCTGAATGATCCTAAGCTTTTATGAGCCACTGACTTAGGGGAGAGTTCTATTGATATTAGCCACCTTCATTAGGTAGTCAGCATCTTATTTATCTAACCCTGGGGTTAAACATTTTATTACAGTAGTCAATTTGGAAGTTATAAAATTCTTCTGTTAGGGGTTATTTGGGGGTTAGAATAGGGATGCAGCTAGGAAAATCAGTGAAATCTCCAGAATGAGCAGCCTGGCACTTTAGTATCTCACTGGGCACTCAGGAAAGCTATACTATAGAAAGCAGGTTACCGTTTATGATAGCTGTATTTTCTGTGTTATCTAGAGAAAAACAGGTTCATCCATGCAAAATGGAGTGTTTTAGAAGATACTGCTGCTAAAATGAAAGACTTTTCAAAAGGAAAAAGTGATTATTCCAGATGAAATGAGAAGTTCCAATGTCAACCTTACTTCCTGAATCAGCAAAAATCAAGGCTTTACTCAGAATAGGAAATTGGAGATTTTCTGTTAATTTACATATCTTTTTTGCTGAGTATGTTTTAGCTGAAATATGAGAGAACTTCTAAGAGACAGCACTTCTCATTTCCAATCGTGCTTTGCTAGGGCCTTATAAAATACAACTACTTGGAACTAAGAATACATAAATTTTACTAGCAGTGATGTAGAAGAATCAAGAGTTTAAGTGAGAAATAGCTTTTCATTTATAACATTTTGTTATACTCATTACCCAGGTCAATACCATACCAAATACCCAGCTCTAAGTAAAAATTTTAGGTATGAGTGGGACGTATCTAAATAGCTAAAGGTTTAGCATATTATAAGCAAAATTCTTAAATGAGCATCAAAATAAAAAACAAGAAAAACATCTTTGACTCAGATACCTTATTGTGATGTGCACACTTATTATGTATATCAATCCTTTGATTAAATGAGAGGTCCAAGTGTGTTAAGAAGCCTAGATAAATCTCAGAAATTATTGCTGAATTGTTATTTTTTAAAAGTGAAATTTTATTCAATACTTTATAAAATTTCAATAGTATTATTAAAAATCTGAAAGTATATCCATATTATTAACACATATCTATCTGTTGGCTATTTCTTTTATGTCAATATTTTATTGTATATTAAATGTTTTTAATCGTAGTTGGGTGGCTTCTTAACAATAATAAACACAAAATGATGGCCTTTTAGCTAGAAAAAAAAATTTTTGTTTAATTCCATCCCTTTTGAAAGAAATGACATAAAGTATGCCATCTCTATCCCAACCTTTGCTACTCCTGCTGCTTCTTTTCCTTTATCTTAGGAGTTGAAGGATGAAATGTGGTCAGATTTTCTCTATTTAAATGAGTTTATTCAGTGAGGGTAAAAAAAAAGTATCTTCTGATTTAATCTTAAGTAACAAGAAAAATAAAACATTTCTTAACCACAAACTTTTCAAACATCAATATTTTATTTTCTCTGGTCTTTATATAACACCTTACCAGAATTCACCCAGTAACCATTATTAATAAGTATAAGTGAAATTTCATTTATCTGCCTTCTAACACGCAACTAATTAAATATCAGATTAACGTAGTTAGAATTTGGGCAACTCTTTTTTATTAACCTCTATAAAAATTATCTAACAATACTTAATGGCACATAAAACATAAAAATATAAATTTAATATTCCGAGAAACTAGATTAAATTTGGAACAATTTAAAACCAAAAATATATACTGAGTTATTTTACTATGAGAAAAACAGGACCTGAACAAAAAACAAACACCAATCATGGGAAAGGTAAGTAAGTAAAGTTTTTAAAGATTTTTCTGTATTCTCTTCGCATAATGAGTCACTTATAAGGAGGAGTATTCACAAACTCAAATGTATAATGTTCCAAACTCTCGATCACAACAGACAACCTTCTAATGATGTGTAAATTAAAGCCCAGGTTTTAGGTTGATCATTACTCTAATAATTGGCTTTTAATACATCATTTTGCTACATAAATGCCTCAGCAGCTTACCCAGGGAAATTATCAAACATTTTCCTTTTTATTTTAATGTCTACTGAACATATCTGAATGATTCCCATACATTTTCATTCGATATTGATATTAAAAGACAAAAACAGGAAAAAGAAAAAGTCTTTGTTTAAAAGTTTTAGGAACCAATCTCATCCTGAATTAAACATACAGGTAAAGCACAGTGCAGTTAAAAGGCAGACTGTATCCCAAATATACAAGCGCAAAGGACATCAGGGTATATGATATAGAAAACCAACTTCCCCAACTGTAAAGGGTTTGAACAGGTCAATTATTTCAAACCATCCTGTGATGAATCATCACTTTTTCAACAGTGTACAGAGACTAAGGGATGGCCAATAATAAAAAATGACAGTGCGGTGGCCTAGCCCTATAGAAGCTGGTTTTCATAGACCGAGCTGAGATATATCTGCTGTTTTCTAAGGCAGTATCCCATGCTTAAAACCCTCCCTCTCTGCCTTTGTTCAGCTCTTTTACTAGCAACCAATTGCTTTCTTTTGGTTCAGCCTAGTAAAAAACTCAAAGGACTAGAACATGAAGGTCATCTAGGTCTACAACGTAGATGAACAAGCCAACAAAGCAACATCACAGGGCAAAGAGCAAAGGCATTGTAATAAGAATCTAATACCAACAAAAAGGAAAATCAATATTAAATAATGAAAAACAGTAAACACTTAGGACGAAAAGAATGGCTGCTTTTGCTTTATATATTTAATGCTCTTTTAAATAAAAAATGAAAAACTAGCCATTTAATAATTATTTTCAAATTCAAGTGAAATACTTTCTGCAACACACAATAATAATACAATGACCTACTAGCTAGGAAAAAATATACTAAAATTTATGTGTAAGTAAGGGACCATTGTTAAGTCCTTTGGCTTTTTCTAAAAATAAATTTCTTTCAATCTATGCAGAACACTGACGACTCCAATTTATTGTTGTTCTTAAAATTTAAAAACAAAACTAACTACAACTATAAAGAGTCCTAAGCTATATAGCAGAAACAATCAACATGTAATAAAATAACCAGAGAATTTGTTTACTTATCAATCCTATGTAGGAAGAATGAAAATAATTTCATAATTGTTTATAAAAAGCCACCTTTCCAGCTTTTGTTTTCCCTACTACAACTTTGCAACTATTTCCTTTTTACATTTTCATTGCAATCGTGATGTTAATTGCTGCCGTCACATTTATTCGACATGCCAAGTCTGCAGTGGGGCAAATGGGATTCTGATGATTCGAAGCACAGAAAGAAACAGCTGAAATGATCAACCAGGTGAGAAACAGTCTCCCGAATAATAGCAAAATAACGCAATTTCATCTAAGCAAAATCAAAATCAAATTTTGCCTTCAATAAAGCCCATTTTTTAAAAAAGTGGACATCAAGTGGATCGGGAAACATTTTTTATTAAACAGTTTCTTGGTAACACAAAAAAACTTATTTACTAAGTTTTCTTCCATTTTCTATTCTCCTCAAAAAATATTGGAACACAAAGAAAAAAGAAACCAGTTAAAACATACTTCTGCTAAAGGAAGAAACATCACTTAGCAAAACAGTGCAAACTATTACATATCATAGCACGTGTACTGTCCAAAAAAGCTAAATCACCTCAGAGAAACATACAAAAAGATCAGGAATACGTCAAACAAGCAAAAAGTTCCTACTTCATTTCTCTTTGCATGAGGTGGAGAAGGAAAGCAAAAGTAATGTTACAATAGTATTATAAGAAAGTCACTAGTAAATCTGGTTAACCAGGATAGAATCAGTACTGACTTGTCAGAGCAGAAGCTATAAACAAATCTCTCCTTTCTTCAAGAGTGCTAAACTCAACACAAAAGATCTTGGCAGAGAGAAGTCAAGACTCTGATATTTCTGTTTTCTGATCATCGAGGCAATAAGGAAAAACAAAACAAAACAAAACTCTGAAAGCTAAATAGATGAGAATGTTGTATGTTCATAATAAATGTGATCCCTTGATTGAAAGGGTAATGAAATGAAAATGAAAACAATGGGAATAAGTTTTGCCCACCACCAAGAATTATACATAGAAGGGATTATGATCACTAGTGTTTCCTTTAAATGTGTCCTTTATAATGCTGTGATCCAGCAAATACACAAATTAAAATATCCCAATAATCCAGTGCTACTAAGACATGGCTCTTAATACCATTTGTCCTCACTGTTTTCCTGAGGAGAAACTGATTATGCTCTCTTTAATAACTCTTGCATATTAAACTTGCATGTCACATCTCTTCTAAAGGTTAAAAGCACTTTGAAGACAAGAACTATGACTTATTTTGTGCCACTCTAACCTAGATGCAAAAAGTTTATGAATTATTTGAACTAAGTGACCATTGTGTGAAAATACAAAATAAATACAAGACATACAGTTCCTGACTCTGAGAGGTTTACAGTATGGTTAAGGAGGTGAAATACATAAATTAGAAGCAACACCACTAATTTTAAAGAATAGCTTTTTAAGTGATATAGTCAAGGGGAAAGACGTTGGAGGAAAGGAAGGAGAACAGAGCATGAAGACAGAACCCTGAAACATGAGAAGAGGATCACCATCTATTCATGAAACCTTGAGTCTTGCTACAAAGATAGCATAGAGAGTAATTTCAATTAGGGCTTGTGAATTTGAAAGGAATATTGCTAAATAACACATTTCTCAAAGAGTTATTCTTAAGTGAAAGCAAAAGTATAATCTTGTTCTAATGGAATACGTTCACTCAAGGCATGAAAGCAGGGCCACTGGCAGTTCATTTTGAAGGGCAAAAGGGTATCTTGGGCTTTCTTGTTGTGTCTTCTTTTTAAGGAACTCCAGGTTGAGTGCTCAGTCTTCATAAAACTACTGTACAGCTTGACTAGTACTGGTTTCAAAGGCAATTAGAACTGCCTTTGGTTAGGGAACTTTCTTCAACAAGCTAGGGTGGGAGGAACTGAAATAATAACTGTAAAATAGTCCCTACGGGAAACTTCTGAGACATAGGCACACCTCTTGAAGAAGTTCAAACTGAAAGCACTTGAGTGATGTATCTATGACACAACCACAAAGGCAGGAGATTATTAGATGCAGGAGATGAAGGATGTTTCTAAAGCCAAAATGTAACAACTGGAGTGAAACTGATAAATGATTTTTCAACTTAGCCTTTCATCCTTCCAAGGCAGAAAAATTGAGCTGCCTGCACTGTGCTGTGTATAGGTCTTCCAGATGAGGTTTATTGAATGCTATGCAAAGGAATTAAAAATCTGATAGCACTTCAGATAGGAAAAAAAAAAAAGGTAGAGAAATACCCTGTGAGCCTTGGTTAAAATATATTTTAAAATATAACATGGTCTTCATCAGTTTTCATAAATTGTCTAGAAATCTAATTCTATACAATAAAGTTATCTTCCCACAATAAAGTATCATCTCACATCTATAAGAACGGCCAGTATCATGAAGGCAAAAAACAAATGCAGGCAGAGATGTGGAGAAATGGGAACCCTTACACAATGCTGATGAGAATGTAAATTAGTACAGCCATTATGGAAAACAGTGTAGAGGTTCCTCAAAAAACTAGAAGAAGAACTACCATATGATCCAGCAATCCCACTGAGTTATTTATCCAAAGAAAATGAAATCAGTATGTCAGAGATATCTGCACCCCCATGTTTATTGTAGCACTACTCACATTAGCCAAGAGACAGAATCAACCTAACTGCCCACCAACAGATGAACAAAGCAAATGTGATATAGATACACAATGAATACTATTCAGACATTAAAAAAAGAATAAGGGCCAGGCATGGTGGCTCACGCCTGTAATCCCAGTACTTTGGGAGGCCGAGGTGGGTGGATCACGAGGTCAGGAGATGGAGACCATCCTATCCAACATGGTGAAACCCTGTCTCTACTAAAAACACAAAAATTAGCTGGGCGTGGTGGTGCGTGCCTGTAATCCCAGCTGCTCGGGAGGCGGAGGCAGGAGAATCGCTTGAACAGGAAGTCGGAGGTTGCAGTGAACCAAGATTGTTGTCACTGCACTCCAGCCTGGTGACAGAGCGAGACTTGTCTGGAAAAAGGAAAGGAAAGGAAAGGAGAAAGGGGAAAAGGGAAAGGGGACAGGGGAAAGGGGAAAAAGGAAAAAGGAAAGAAAGAAAGAAAAGAATAGAAAGAAAAGCAAGAAAAGAAAAAAGAAAAGGAAAGGAAAGGAAAGGAAGAAAGGAAGAAAGGAAGAAAGGAAGAAAGAAAGAAAGAAAGAAAGAGAAAATCCTGTCCTTCTGTCCTTTTTGGCTACATGGATAAGCCTGGAGGACATTATGTTAAATGAAATAAGCCAGACACAGAAAGACAAATACCACATGATTTCTCCTATTTGCGGAGTTTAAAAAAGCAGCTCTTACAGATGTACAGCGTAGCATAGTGGTTACCAGAGACTGGACAAAGACTGGATGGGGAGAGGTTAGTCAACAGGTATAAAAGAACAGATGGATAAGAGGAATAAGTTCTAGTTTTCTGTTGCACAGTACAGGGATTACAATTAACAATAATACTACATTGTGTATTTTTCACAATAACCAGAAAAGAGGATTTTGAATGTGCTTGCCACAAAGAAATGATACATGTTTGAGGTGATGGATACACTATTACCCTAATTTGATCATTATACGGTGTATACATGTATTGAAACGTCATACTGTACCCCACAAATATGAACTGAATATATTGTACATATTCAAATAAAAATAAAACTTAGAAAGTTATTTTTTAAATTATCAACTTGTGAAAAGATTCAATGACACTGCAAGTAAAACAACACAGCAGACATTCAATAAATTGTTAAAAGATTGGCTAAAATATTTTCATAAAGTTATAATGAAAAGCTGAAAGGACAAATACATAAGGCCTGGAAGAATCTCTGAAGCTTTCACAAATACTATTTAAAATTATTTTAATTTTTCTAAAAAAAAATGAAGTGTATAATGTACATAGGATTCTGTATTAGATGACACAAGTACTAGGTTTTGGTCTTTGAACAGTTCACTATTTATTCTCTTTAGCATCCATTTCCTTTCTTCTGTGTTTCTTATCAGAAAATCTATCCATAGGGTATGGATGGCAATAAGGGATGGTTACCCTATACTTCACTGCATCCCCATTAGGGAGATGGGTACACCATTCATACCCCTCCAATCCAAGCATTAGACCCCACTGATTGGACCAGGAATAACCCAAGCTGAACTAATAAAAGAACTTCTTGTGCTTTAACCAGAATTATCCAAAAAGATACTATCTCTGTCTGAGACACAGGTGTTAAGGACATGGAAGTCAAAAGTGTCCAAAGCCATTTTCCTGTTACTACAGAAGGCCTAAGAATGAAGCCAATCAGCACGGAGGAAAGTAGATCTGAGAAACGGGATGAGTTAGTGTTAATGCTTGAAGCTCTAGAATAGATCTAGAATGATCCAGCTATGCTGAGAACAGATAAATCCTAAATGAGTCAATAAATCCCTATCCTGGTCAGATGTGGTGGCTCATGCCTGTAATTCTAGCACTCAGGGAGGCTAAGGCGGGTGGATCACCTGAGTTCAGGAGTTCAAGCCTGGCCAACACAGTGAAACCCTGGCCAACACAGTGAAACACCGTCTCTACTAAAAATACAAACATTAGCTGGGCATGGTGGCAGGCACCTGTAGTCCCAGCTACTCAGGAGGCTGCAACAGGAGAATTGGTTGATCCCAAGAGGTAGAGGTTGTAGTGAGCCAAGATTGTGCCACTGCACTCCAGCCTGGGCGACAGAGTGAGATTCCATCTCAAAGCAAAATAAAAACAACCACCAAAAAAAACTCTCTATTTCTTACTTCCTTACTTTCTTTTTCTCCTTTCTTTCCTTTGGTTTGGGTTTCCAAAACCTTGCATCGTTTTCTCTTAACCCTGTCAGTCTTCTGTCATTCCTTCAGGTAGTGCCGTTCTCTGCCATTCCTAGTAATCCTGTGGCTCCACTGCAATACTAAAAGATGGTAAATGAATGCCTGATCTGGGGATATTTCAGTCTATTTAATGGTTATTTGACCTCACCACTAAACAACATGAGGAAAGATTTATGGATAGAGACTACAGAATCAGTTCTTAAAGAGAACAGAACCTCTAACTGTTCAAAAACAGTTGTGATCTCATTATTTAACACTGGTATACAATTAAGAAAATAGGCATTTTCAGAAAGTGCTCTCAGTAAGAAGTCCAGTCACAATTAATA